TTTTGAAAGGCTCATGGAGAACGTCCTCAGGGGATTGTCATGGGAAACATGCCTGGTATACTTGGATGACATTATCGTCCTAGGCAAATCCTTCGAAGACCACCTGAAGAACCTGGAGAATGTCTTTATGCGACTGCGGATGGCTAATCTCAAGTTGAACCCCAAGAAGTGCAACTTGTTCCGCAAACAGGTTAATTACCTCGGCCATGTTGTATCAGACAAAGGAGTATCTGTGGATCCGGAGAAGATCAGAGCTATCACTGATTGGCCAATACCTCAGGATAAACACCAAGTTAGGAGCTTCCTTGGGCTGTGCGCTTACTACAGAAGATTTGTAAAAGGATTTGCTAATATTGCCAAACCACTAACTAAATTGACGGAAGACAAGAGAACCTTTGTTTGGGACAACGACTGCGAGAAATCTTTTGAAGAGCTGAAGGCCAAATTATGCAGCGCACCCATATTGAGCTACCCACGACCAGACGGAAAGTTCATACTAGACACGGACGCCAGCAATACAGCCATTGGAGGAGTCCTTTCCCAGCTTCAAGATGGAGAAGAACATGTGATCGGATACTTCAGTAAGGTCCTGTCAGCGCCTGAGCGTAATTACTGTGTCACCAGGAGGGAGCTTCTCGCAGTGGTAAAGTCTATAGAACACTTTCATAAGTACCTGTATGGAAGAAGGTTTCTCCTGAGAACCGACCATGCCGCACTGATGTGGTTGCTAAGATTCAAGTCTCCTGAAGGACAGGTTGCGAGATGGTTAGAAAGATTACAGGAGTATGACTTCGAATCAATCCATCGTGCGGGGCCAAGCCACAGGAATGCAGATGCACTATCTAGAAGACCATGTGGGGACAGCTGCGCGCACTGCACACGCAAGGAAGACAAAAGTGCATCAGTTCATCGCGTGACCGCCGTGGACGACGAATGGGACAGTAATAAACTGTCAGAGGACCAGAAGGAAGACCCAGACCTAAGACACGTCATGCAGTGGAAGATAGACAATAAAGGAAGACCGTCGTGGCAAGATATTGCTCCATTGTCTAAGAACGTCAAGACCTACTGGGCGCAGTGGAACTCGATTTTAATGGAAGAAGGAGTTTTGAAGCGAGTCGTCGAATCGGAGGAAGGGGAGCACCGAAAACTCCAACTAATAATTCCAAGGAAGAGGGTTCCTGAAGTGCTAAGGGAAGTGCACGATGGAATTTCTGGAGGCCATCTAGGGGTACATCGTACACTGGTGAAAGTAAGGGAGCGCTTCTACTGGGCTAATCAGAAAGACGACGTCATAGACTGGTGCAGAAGGTGTGCGACCTGCGCAGCATCAAATGGCCCTGTCAACAAACGAAAAGCCCCAATGAGGAAATACAACGTAGGTGCCCCGTTTGAGCGCATCGCCATTGACGTAGCAGGACCGTTCCCCATGTCTGATTCTGGAAATAGATTTATTTTGGTAGCAATGGATTACTTCAGCAAATGGGTAGAGGCCTATGCATTGCCTAACCAGGAAGCGGTAACAGTTGCAGATATATTAATCAAGGAAATGGTGAGCAGATTTGGCGTCCCGCTCGAACTTCATTCTGACCAAGGAAGAAATTTTGAGTCAGCAGTATTCTCCAGAATGTGTGAAGTTCTTGGTATCCGGAAGACTCGAACAACACCTCTGCACCCACAGTCAGATGGCATGGTAGAACGCATGAACAGGACGATGGGAAGATATCTGTCAAAAGTTGTCTCCGAACATCAGCGGGACTGGGACCAATACCTGCACCTGTTCCTACTTGCGTATAGGAGTTCTGTCAACGAAACCACCGGTCAGACTCCAGCCAACGTAGTTTTCGGCCGAGAGCTCCGTCTTCCATGCGACCTACAGTATGGCTTGAAACCAGATGAATGTGTGGTTGGCGAGGACTACGTATCTCATCTGCGGAAGAGGATGGACGAGATACATGAGAAAGTCCGTCGCAACATATCTGGAGCAAGTGACAGGATGAAGGAGAGGTACGACGTGAAGGCCGAGAAAGGAGGGTTCACACCTGGAGACCTCGTGTGGCTACATAATCCCCGAAGGCGTCGTGGATATTCACCTAAACTCCAGAACTCATGGGAAGGACCCTATGAAGTAATTTCCCGTCTAAATGATGTCATCTACCGGATTAAGAAGCAACCAAATGGCAAACCCAAAATAGTCCATTTCAACAGGCTTGCACCCTACAAAGGAGATCACGGCCAACAAGATGAACAAGTTCGCAACATCTCAACCGAACCAAGAGACTTCGTGCCCGAGAAATGTGGAAAGGCGGAACTGAAACTGTTATATAAGGACCTCTTCACCTTGCCAGTGGATTATGCCTTGGCCCACTGCGTAGCAGAAGACCTGAGAGCGTCGCGAGGTATAGCCACAGTCTTCAGGAAAAAGTTTGGAGGGACTGAAGCCCTTGAGCGTCAGAGACCCGCCATTGGCACCACCCTTTACCTGAAGCGCAATGGGCAGCATTTGTTTTACCTCGTTACGAAGGAAGCGTCAAGCCAGAAGCCCTCCTATGAATCGTTGAAGAAAAGCCTGCAAGACCTGCGAGACAAACTTCTTCAGATTGGAATCAAAAAGCTTGCTATTCCAAGGCTGGGATGTGGTTACGACGGACTGGAATGGAAGACTGTAAGAAATATGGTGCAGGAACTTTTCGAGGACACTGGCATCGACATTGTGGTCTGCGTATTCAACCCGTGGGGGACCGGAGACATTGGTCCAGAAGATCTCAAGCTTCGAGAGAAATCTGTTCTGGGGCAGAACAGTCTTAAGGAGGGGGTAGTGTTACAAGTCAGGAGCCCCGCGCAACAATAGCCAGGCGCCGTCACATAAGGGTTGTTTGTTTACACGGGTTTCTTAGAACGCACCACTGATAGACAATAGACCTATGTCAACGGACTACCTCAATAGGGGCCCTAGAACCTTCTACTTCTACGCCGGTTTGTAAACAACGGATGCTCGAACTCTCCACTCTAGATTGTTCTACGGCAAGGTTATATAAGGGACCGTCTTCCGGCACACGGCAGTTGAGTTGAGTTGAGCCTTCCGAGAATCGTCGCAGCAAGTGCCCGTCGGTGTTAGTGACCAGTGCTAGTGCTAGTGGCAGTGACAGTTTAGTGACAGTGAGAGTAACAGTAACAGTGTAGTGTCTCTAGTGACAGTGTAGTGACAGTGTTGTAACAGAAGTGATAAATCCTGTAGAGGCTAGCTGTAAGTAGAAACATTGTAAATTAGAATAGGCTTTAGCTAGGTTTAGATAGGGTTAGTTAGGTGTTAGGAAATTGTAATTATTGTAAATACAGAATATTAGTGTAAATAAAATAGCTATTTTAAAATCGCCAAGTTTTATTTGTAAAGAACCTGCTAAGCCCGCAACAATACGCTGTTCAAAAAGAGAAAATGAAAATTGCTATCCAAATCTTATAGCTGCAAGAGTTATCCAACCTATTTCATGGTGTTGCTGCTTTAGCATATTCAAAGCATATTATGGCTTTCCAGTTTATAACCCAGAGTTTGTGGGTAAACATTAATGGTTGATATCACTCCACTTTTCAGGATTCTCTGGCCACGGAGAAAATTCGTTTGATTGGGGGATGTCTAGGCAACAGTTTTCTTAAATTCTCAATGCTAGAAAAACTTTGTTGCGACATGTTAGCTCGAATTGAAGCCGATCGTTTAGCATTAATTAGAAGTTATTGGTTAAAACTGAGAGCAGAAATAATGTATGTGAACCTTGACGACACAAATAGAGATATTTAAAATTAGTTTCTTACAAGTGTTTAAACAACTCTAAGATGTAACTAGAATTACTAGAATTTAAGCATAACGTTTTCCTCGGTGTTATGTTTCATACTATGCGGCTCATTGAGCCGCACGGGTTCTCTAGTTATCTATAATTCTCGTAGTTGATGTGCACAGACTATGTTATTGCTTGCAATAAATTACACTTTCTAATTTGACTTGTTAAAAAGGTTTGTGTTTGACAGAAACCAGTATTAGTCCAGCATCTATAGGGGGTTTAGTATGCACTGAAAGTATAACTCTTTTTGACTTTTGATTGTTGTTAGGGGCATCTTGGAGAAGACAAAAACCGATGTTGTCGCCCTCCCAGCAGGTGCACAACTTGGGGGGGAAGGTGCTCTGAGACGCATTTAGAAAATCGCTCATATCTTGTGAACTAGACTTGATAGAAACAAGCTCTAAGCGGTATTGTATTACCAACTTCATCTGCTTAAAAAAAATATCAAGGAAAAGTCCCGTATCTATGATATTAATTGAGTTATTTAACAATTTAACAATGCCGTGTAGAGCTTGTTTCTATCGTGTCTAGTTCACGAAATATGAGCGATTTTCTGGAACACGTCTCAGAGCACCTTCCCCCCCCCCCCCAACTTGTGCACCTGTTGGGTGGGCGAAAACATCGGTTTTTGTCATCTCCAAGATGCCCCCCACAACAATCAAAAGTCAAAAAGAGTTACACTTTCAGTGCATACTCAACCCCCTATAGATGCTGGACTATATGGAGTTATTGGCATCACTGCACTCTCACATTTTAGCATTGTTTATTTATCTACCGGCTGCATATTACTACATTAATTTATCCTGAGGTTGTTTATAGAAAGTTATGTACCGGTATTACCATTGTAACTGAGGGAACGTGCTACCCTAGTTATCAGTTATTGCCAGTTCACTCCTGAAGATATTCAGTAGATCAAACCTGGAATAAAAATAGTCGAATTTTAAAAAACCAGCCAATCTTAATCAGTGACAAAGCTGTCATCTTTCATCTTGTTTATTCATCTCATCTTTGCCTTCAAAATACGCCACCCACCCTGATATGTGGGTGCCATAAGAATATCTCTATATCTTTTGGCAAACCACAAAGCTACTGGAAATAATTTAAATAGTTTTGTTAAGATAAGTAAAAGGATAGGAATATGACAAGGAATAATAAAACCACATATAATCGGTATAACTCGGTCCCTCGTAAGGACATTTACTGAGGCACACAGCATTCGCGTGCTGACTCGACACAACCGTGCTCCCCTCAAACACAACAGAAACGGTTCCTTGCTGTATTCGTGATAAATCTACTTATATTCATAAAATCACAATTTAACTGTTTTATGTTGGTGAATTCATTTGAGTTTTACAAACAATTTGTAGTTGCTACACAAACTCATCTTTTCTAAGTCTCTACACATTTTACTATGGAAAATATTGTTTGACAGATTTTTTTTAAAGATTCACAGTAAAATGAGCAAATGAATTGTCACACAAAAAGCATGGAAACCTTTGAAATAAATCAAACAGATGAGATTTCAAATTCGCAAATATAAAAAGCACAAACACAACAGGAAACCACAGTATGAAACTAAATGCTTTCAGTAGTACCAACAAAATTGCACAAACTTTAAAATTAACATCAATTTGGTACCGTGATTCTAAGACTATGGTAGATAACTATGTACAATAGACACACAGCTGCTGGCTTACCCGAATAGTTATTGACTTTGTAATTGAGTTTAACTGTATCAATTATATTCTTTTTCCATCCCAGTTTCAAGAACTTGAAATATATTAGATTGCCTGTGTTCCCGAGAACACAAACATCTTACCTACTCAAGAACACAGGCAACAACAAAGGTATCAATGTGTGATTTAATTACGTTAAAAAAATTAATTACATTGTCCCAGAGGCTTTGACTAATAAGTACTCAAGATGAGGAATCTTACACGTGTGTTGAAAATGTAATAATCTTAAATTTATAGATTTAACTATTTGTAAGGAAATCAATTCCTAACCTGTAAATAACCACTTTTGTAAGCCAGCAATTTAAATTAATAGATATCTCTTACAATAGTTATTTGTGTAACTAGTGGTGAAAGTGGCACTTTGCTGCACACGAGAGCAATGTTGTTGTTGTTCAATGTGTTACTGAGCAATGTTTGTTGGAATGATCTCGAGTGCAGCAAAGGCCTTTTTCACTCGTGTTACACATTATATTTTTCCTACAGTCACTATAAAGCATATAAATAATTAGTCTTTCAAACACTATACAACACGTTTTTAGGTTCAGCTGGTAACACAAATGGTGCCCTAGAGAAAGTAGTACCCGAGGTCCGTATCACTCCGCTATTTTTCCTCGGCAAGAAATGTGCTCCGCGTTTTGAAAATATAGTTCCGTATGTTTTTTGTAATTTGAAGTGGTTTCAAATTACAAAAAAATACTAAAAAATGCTTTAAAGGTATTTTCTTGTTTATTAAGATCGTAGGAATGTTTTCAAAACGTTTAAAAGAAAAGTCCAGAAAGTTCAGAAATGCCGAAACTATAAACACAAAATGACAGGTTAAATCGTAGGTATAATAGTCAATCAGCTGCTCATAGTATTATTATCTTTAAGTGTTGCCAACCTATTTCCAAGCGTACACGGATTACGTGCATAATAAAACCACGCTGTTTTGTGTTGTTTCGTTGGAATCCTGATGTGCGGCAAAGTATAAACCGTACGGCAAAGTATAAATATGCAGCAATTAGCAGCTTTCTGTACTATAAACAGTACAGGGAAGCCTACTTTGTTGGGTGACTGTAGGAAAAATACTTTTAAGCTTTTGATTTGGCCCTTTCTGGCAACACTTTGGAATATACAAAGATGACTTGATAATATGAATGTACAAGATGGAATGTATTCATAGTTAAAATCATCAAAAATATCAAACCAAGATATCAGAAGATAGAATTTGAGGTTATGTTTAAACATTGAATAATATGAGCCTTGGTCAACGAGGTATTAGTTTGGTGTTTGCAAATGTTCCATCAACTCTGAATTAGTTATGCCTGATTGTAGCAATTATATTTTTTTCAAACCACGTTAAACTATTTTCAGGTTAACAATGAAAAAATAAATGCATATCATATCAATATTAAGAATAATCTTTGTATTTGGTATATGAAATTCCAAATAAAGTCATCATTTAGAACTTATAAGTTGAACTCCAAAATATTAGCGTTATTATTGGCAGGTACCTATCTAAGCAATAAAATATTATATACATCGTATGTTTAAAAATTACAATTAAAAACATTACATTTAAATAACTCTGAAATTTTTAACATTAAGCCTATTATTTTCAACTGTACAAAGTAATTTCATTAAATTAACAGTGTTTTGTAGAATAAAATCTGAATAAGTGGATAAAATACAACAATTTATAGACACCTATAAATATATAACAGTTAAAACTCTTGATTTTAGTACCTATCTTGATTCATTATCATGCACAAAAATTAACATGATTATCAAAAATATGGTTTAAAAACAAAATACTATATACATTCTTCATAGTTAAAATGGCTACTATCTACTTAATTAATTAATACTCTTTTCATTTTAAACAATTAGAAAACTATAAATTTTAAAATGACCTCATACAGTATATTTTGAAATAATGAATGTGATAATGTATTTTTAATATTAAATAATAAATTAAAATGTTGAATGATATTATCATTATTTTTGTAGTGTTTTTATCATTAATATTGTTAGGAACATATTACAGTCATAGTATACTGTTCTTTATAAACAAAGAAGCTTCTAAATACTTATTCATGGCCAGGGCCACTGCCAAGAAAGGAAGCAAAACCCAAAATCTTGGAACTTACTAATTACAATTTTTAGAAATAAAGGGTGTAAATTACATCATGTTATATTGCAAAATTCATTTCATGTTTTTGAAATTCGCCCAAGCTTCTGAAAATTATAGTTCTTTAGAGTAGACAATTCAATAAGTCTATTACTGTAATAATATTCTTTATAAATCTTTGTTAGTTTCTTTATACTTGTAACAAAAACCTTTAATGAATGAATAAATGCATGCACTCACTATTACTATTACTATTACTTATTTCCGGTATTTAGGTTTTTATTACCTTTAATACACCAAAAATTAAACATCACAATCCTGAATTTTCCTTAGTAGCTCTGGCCATGAATATATTTTTTATTACAAATTTATTTATTTTTATATAAAAATATTTCACGTTTTTTTAATTCTATAGTTAACAAGCTTCAATTCTGTTAAGATGACTGCAACTCCGGTACAGCTCAATATTTAAGTACATGTATGGTATAATACAATTAAAAAATTCCAATGAAATTTTGTTAAATGTTAAACTTTGTAAACATACTAAAAAAGTTCAATTTTAAAAATCTAACTTTAATTATAAAGTTAAAACTAATGTTTTATCTCATACAGTAATAATTTAATGGTACGAAAAAAATAAAGTTAAAAACAGTCATCCGCAACATTTGAAAGATGAGTCTTGAAACTTCTAATCATTTAAATTAGTTTTATTCTTAGCATAAAGTACACAGCCAACAATTGGTTATTGCAATAAAAAGACAAAACTATGATTTAAAATAATTTTTACACACAATCTTGAGCAATTTTAAAATTAAACTAACTACTGAAAAGTGCAAAGTAAATTTCACATAATCAATCAAGATCTTCATAAACACCAATATAAATATATCAAATTCTTATACGAGTCTAATAAAATAAATAAACTACCGATTTCACTGTGCAAGTCCATAATTTTCTACTCTACATTTTTATCCCAAAATATATCGCAATCTGGAATACATAAATATATTATTTTCATCTATCAACAAATATATAAAATATTATCTTAAAATAGATCTCGATATATTAAAATTCAACTAGATTTAAAACGAAGATGGATGGAAGAATTGAGTTTGGTTTCAAATTGTCAAGCACACCAACACTAGGCACCAACTTGAACCCTTCCTGAAACAACAAAACACGTAGTAAGCACTAAGATGATAAATAACATAAACTCTGTCGATGAAAAAGTACTCTCAAACACCAAGTTAACAAAAGCACAATTTTTGTAGCAAAGTGATTTTGTAATGAATTAATCTATCCATGGCTATTTAATTTTTACAATCAGTAATTGTATTTTGTTGTTTTATGTTGTACCAAGTTAGTGTTAAGTATTTATACATGAAGATGAAATTCGGGTATATAACCTTAAAGAAGATAACCTGAAAGTGTTATAATTACTCCAAATACTTGTCACAAGCACAGAATCTTTGCTTGTATATGTTGGGTCTTGGATATTCCAAGCCCAAATATTGCTTCAGATTCTGTAAAGTTGTTTATCACTACAAGTAGAGCCTTCTGTCAAAAAATATCTGTACATTATTTTTTTAATGTTTTTTTGCTACATGATTTTTAAGTTTACAATATATACTAATATAATACAATAGCCTATTCTCATAAATATTGACTGATTGAATAGAATATTACATTTGTAAGTTTTTAAATGGAACATTTGTACAAGAATATTAGCTGGTTTTTGTGTCTTCATTATTCTTAGGTAATTTCTGCATGGTTGACGTATGATACATATATAGTTTTTTTTCTTAAATCCGTAGAACTATTTTATTTCACAGTTGCAACAGCATATTATGTGCTGCTCGTTACTATGTTAACTATATAAGCAAATTTTATTTCAAGAGTCTACTGCTTTGCGTTAGGAATATTTTCCTGAACAATTACCTGTAGTCCAGGCAAAGATTTCCCTGCTTTGTACATTGTAGGGGAAGACTAGCGGTTTTCCTCCCTGCACCTGAAAAATACACATTAACTTAAGTGACTTTTTCAACATTTAACCTCATTATAAAAAAGATTCATCACATAAAAAATGTGACTTATTAAGATGCTTACAAAAAATAAAATAAATAAACTATATGAATTTTTAAACAAAGTGCACATAAATTTAAACCTAATTTTTGAAACCGAGTCATCAAACAAATTCCAGCATTAGACCTACTTACTTGACAACATTAAACTGAGTTATGATGTTAAATACCCATCTGTTTTATGAATCATTTATCATCATCAGTAGTTGTATGAACATTTGGTATGTACTGGTGATTAGGAACAATATTTTGAACAAATATATAAACTCACCTATATTTACAATGGTTGAGACACTCAAATCATCTACTTGGCACTTCTTGAATGTGGTGATAAATTCTGGAACAAAAATATTATAAATCACTTACAGAACAGTTTAACTCTTGAGATATTCGTTACATATTAAAATGTGGATGAAAAGTTGAGGCATTGTTAAAGAGTTTATCACGTTTGAATGGCTAGTAAACCGACAAACACAGGGAACAATTAATTATTTCATTGCTATATATATATATATTTGTTTTATTTGGATAAGTTTACTGTGAACCTATTTTCACATGACCTTGTCAAGCACTCTCAGTTTGTTGAAAGTCAATTTGATAATTTAGTGGATCCCTAACAAAAATGACAGCTATCAAAATAATCATTGACTTATCATAGCACTTGGAAGGTAATCATTCAAATCGAACTGTGTCGTAAAGACTAGTTTTATCAGTTTCAGTGAATCAAATAGCTTGACACAAAATGGTTGTAGGTAGAACTAGAAACTTATCTCAAGTGATATAAAAGCCATTTGGTCTGCTTCCTTAGCCATTATCTTCAAAAACTCCCCGTGTAAACAGTGGGATTTTTGTTGATAAATAGAGGGGAAATACTGAACTTGAAAGTTATCAAACTGGCAAATATTCAACTTTATCTGAAAATATTGTCACTTTTGTAAGACAATTTTATTATGTGACTGATATGATGAAAAACTCCATAAAATCATTTAAAAAATACCACATTTGTTAGTTTCTAACCTCTAAGTACAAAATCAATAATTTATTTCTGAACACTTGCTTCTGAATTCGAACAAAAACCATTTATATAAAGATGAAATCTACAAAAACCATTTTTATCACGAGAAATGGCAAGAAACCAGTCTTGTCTGTGCGGTGGTAAAAGCTGTGAAGTACTATTAGAGTAAAGTCACATGGACGGCAAACCAGTTGTGACCGCAGGTCTCGAACCACCGACAATGCTTGTCTTAGACACTACTGCTGAGTGATAACCAAAAAAACATTTTGTGACGAGTATTCAAATATACTGTACTAATCTTGTTTATTGTTTTTTTGTAAATTATCTTGTTTGTTGCCAACATAAGACTATCTATTGCTGGACTTAGAAGTGTACATGCTGTGCTATGATGGCCTATAACTTATGCAGCTAACTCGCAACATCACAGTCCCTTGCAATCGGTTGTTTTTTAAACCCCCTTGCGTTAAAAACCTTGTTTGCCCCCTGCGATCACAGAAACATTTATTGTCATCCTCCTTGATCGTAGCAAAATATTGATCTTCTCCCATGGTCAACTAATTTAATATGCTTCATATTCACACATTTATTTTAAATGCCCAATGTACATTTAATATGATCCTCGGATAATCCAACATTTTACTGTTCCGACCACAGTCCCGCCCCCGTAGATTACATATTAACAGGTTTGTACTGTACTGTTTATTGCTGGACTTACATGTGTGCGTGCTATGATGGCCTGTAACTTATGCAGCTGACTGACAAGAGAACAGTTTGTGTCTTCTAAGCTGTTGATCTTCTTTCGATATTCCGAGTTCTCAGAAGACAGCAACTCTACTTTCCTCTCCAGAGCGTCCATATACTCCTTCTTCTTGCGTCTACTCTCTTGTGCACTTATCTGAAATATCAGTCCCATTTGTTAGCTCTGCATGAGAAAAGTGAAAAGATTGCTCAAAGCCATATTGCAAGGAGATTAATAATATATTTCATCACTAAGGCCTAAAGTGACTCTTTTTGACCCGAGGTCAAGTTTTACGATGGAGGCGAAGCTGATGTCGGAAAATGAGCAAAGATTAAAAAGACACTTTTTGCCCGTTTCGTTTGGTGAACTATATTTTTTGTCATATTGCATACTTAATTAACAAACTAAGCTAGAAAACGAAATAATTTTTATGTTAAGATAACCTCTCAAAACGACATCCAGCTTCTTTTCAATTCTGCTAATGTAAATAAGCAGTTGTTTAGCAAGTGATTCAATCATTTTGTCTATTACGATTATGTTACAGTACATTATACCATCGATACGTCAAGCGATCGACAACAATAGGCTAACACCTTACCTAATAAATCAACCGATAAATAATTTTGATCAATACGATTGCCACAGTCAAAATTTACAATTGTTTACAACAGCTGATTTTTACTCCCTAGAGATTAAAAATGATTTTTACTCCCTAGAGACTAAAAATGATTTTTACTCCCTAGAGACTAAAAATGATTTTTACTCCCTAGAGAGTAAAAATACTACTCTGCAACATATACATTAAAAATGGCTGTTTTTGCTGCAGTATGATGAAAAATCAATTTCCGGTCACTGTGGGCAATCTAATAAGCATTTTATCTCGGCATACAATTGAAGGATTATCCCTTTAATAATTAATTTATCCCTAAAATTGGAAAAAAGGCACTTTTTTGTGGCATCTTTTTCGAGTATACATTTCTCTTGTGTGCAGCAAAGGAACTTTGCACTTGTGTTACACATTATATTTTTCCTACAGTTACTATATAAAGCATAGAAATAATTAGACTTTGAAACACTAAACAACACGCTTTAGATTAGGTTAAATCCAAGCGAAATGGGAAACACTGCACCAGCTGATCGTAGTAATAGTATCTTTAAAGTATTGCCAATCTATTTCCAAGCTGTACAGATTACGTGCATAATAAAAGCACGCTGTTTTGTGTTATTTGGTTGGAATACTGGTGTGCAGCAAAAAAGATTGTGGCAATTAGCAACTTTCTGTACTAAAATCAGTTCAAGGAAGCCCGCTTAGTCAGGTGACTGTACGAAAATTACTATTGTTTATCTAGTGTCAGTTAACTGTTACCTTATTTTTAATTTTTCTCCTAATCTTCTTGAGAGACTTTTCCTCAGCTTTAGTGAGGGGTAGGCGAGTGGGAATGGGGTAGCCCTCGGCTAGTAACGTGCGCTTTTCTTCTTCCGTTAGAAGTAACACACCCGTAGACCCCTTCTGTAAGAAAAAATAGTTGCATATCAAATTGTTGTAAAATTAGTACGGTAGAAAATAAAACTGTAACTCAATGCATGTGAATGATGGGTACAATTCAACAACTAGTCCCATTCGTAACACAAAGATGAACTGACCACAGGGTAAATAATAATAGCGTTACGCATGCCTATTTTTACAAAATTTTCCCTTAAATTTATGAGCACAAACTCTTAAAAAAACAAAGTTTCTGGTGGGTACACACAATAATCAAAAAGTAGCAAAACACCTGATTCATGAGAGGTAAACTTGTGAAAAATCCACCAATCTACAGAGGAAACTTGCTTGAGAGAGGACGTGCACTTTCAACTCTAGACGTATGTTGTGCTGGAAATATACTCCTGACAAGGAAGAAAGAGGCCGAGCGGAAATTCCTATCACTCAGGGCACAAGGTCTTCATCCACCGTGTGTTTTGTAATACATGATTGCGAGGGGGTGGAGGGTTGGACTTTGCGCTATACACCAACGACTAGTTCTAGACACCACAAGTGTACCACTGGATGTTTCCTCTGTATCTTACTTCTCTGTGACCAATCCCATTCATCAACTTCTATTTGAATGTCATTCACCATTCTTCCATCTTAGGCGTACCTTTCTTATCAAGCTTTACCAGACTAGTAAATTCTACACAAGATGTGCAAAACCCTAATTGAGACAGAATCCAAACACTACAATTACAGTGCTGTCTTCTAGCTAGGCAACGAATAAAACCTCTTCGACTCCTTTGAAATCAGACAACAATGGCATTGGACCTCTCAGGTTGCAGCACCTGACAACTGTTGTATGTGAGTGGGAGATTGGTTATGGTACTCTTCATTGTCAATGTACCAGCTTAAATAGTTATTAACAAGTGTAAAGTCTACTCACAGGTTGACTGCTGATGAGGGGAGTCTGTATTGGTTGTCGTGTAGACGTTGTCGAGTGGTGGTTGGAGGCAGACAGAAACAGTCTGCGCGCAGGGGAGGAGGGGTGTGAGTGAGAGGGTGACACGTTGCCTTCACTGTCACTAGACGTCGACGAGGGAGGTGTTGGCGGCAGAGAAAACCCTGTAACAGACGACACAGATAAAACAAACGATTCCAGACATATAATCATGTCATGGGGCTGAGTTTTGAGTTTCCCAAGAAAGGATGAGGGTTTGAAGGCCATCCCCCTGGAAAAATTGTTATTTTTAAAGCCGTTTGGTGACTTTATAAGGCAATTTTAAACGTTTAGTACTGTGTCCAAAAACCTCTGTTATGTTTTAAACCAAAATGTATGTTCAAATTTATTTTTTCAGGGTCCAATGGGAGGGGGGCTTTAGCCACTATAGCCCCCCCCCCCTTTGAACCACCACTGGGTGTGATATATCTTTGACTATTGATAAACTAGACATTTTATTTCCGTGTTAAAGATGTCACTAACTATAGAATCAAAATGAATGCACCAACAGAGTACCCTGGTATAGATTATTGATTGATTTTGAATCACGTTTTAACTTTTTAACCAAGTCAAACTAATGGGACAACTTGTTGTATTGTAAGCTATAGCATCTTTTCTCACATCAACTACCACAGTATGTGAGTGGCTCATCCAACTATCCATAGATTCATATGGATGTAATTACTAATTCAATATTCAAAGTGTTAATAGTGGATTTTACTTTTGACTCAAAGAAAGTCTAACTGTTTGTGTAAGAGTCTCAGAAGAGAGCTGAATTAAGGGAAGGTTACATTGGTTAGTAAGTGACATGGATGGTATTATATTAGTCTGGAGATTGGTGCACTGAAGGCTCAAATTCATGCGCTAGCCAATAACAATTGCACTCGATTTTGTCATAACATTATAAGCAGTAGTGGTGTTGGTCATAAATTTTCCTGTGCAGGAATGTTCATCATTGTCGTAGGAAAAATATTGGTCGCTTATCAATAAATAGGTTCTATGAGGACAGCAGAGTGGCCGTCCCCTTGTGTTCCCGCTCCATTATACTATTAATAAGCAATGTTAAGGGCCATCTAAAAGGTATATTCCCATTGAGAAGAAAAAGTACAGGTGTTAGGCAAGGATAGCTCTTTTTCTCTGTTGGGTCTTCTTCCCTGCATTTGAAAGTTTGAACTTATAATTTTTAAGAAACCGATAAGAGTGAAAACTCTTGATGGTCTATCATGTCATAAAATTTCTGTTGGACCACCATCGCTGTGGCTTAGAACAAGGGTTTTTACGATTCAAACTAAGCGATTCTACGAGTTAGAAAATTCCTAATTATGGCTAATGTAATAGTGGCCTAATTGATGGGACGTTTGACGCCTTGGATGAAGTTTTGAACATAACATTCAAAAGACCTCTAATGTGTACAAAATGGATAATAATGAATCCTTAAACAATCTGAGTGATTCTTTATACACAACCATAATGACCTGCTCAACCAACGCGTGTTGTCAGTATGTTAACCAATAAACAGCAGAACGTAGCACAAGGTTAGCAATCTGTAACAGGCAGCTGACATGTTCAGACGTGTTTGGGAAAGTGTTAACATGCTTGTCTGTCAACGTTAGTGTCATTTGCTCTCATGTTATAGCTCGACTTGTAAACATTCCATGTAAATGGGTTTTGTTACAAAATTGTTTTCATTTCTTTCTGTTGTCGGTCCAAGCTTGTTTAAGAGAATACATTTAATGCACCTTTACATGCAGGAAAGTTTAAATGGGTACCTTTTTTGTTGCATATTTAATTGCTTTAGTTAATACTTAAAATATATAATTTGTTTTATATTGCTTGGAATGAATTCTCCTCAAAACACGTGTCATTGTGTAATTTTAGTGACATGAAACTGAAAGTTATATTTGAAAATAGTCCAAAATACACAATAATTTACCATTTACCTTTTGGTTGTCAAAAATAGTAGATACAACCTTGCATTGCATCAACCTTTACTACTGTTGGTCACACCTATATTAGGCTATATCATAATACGATTACTTAATAGAAAGAATTCACATGAACCCTTGAAGCAGTTGATTGTTCAAGTTTAGAAATTTAAAATATTTGAGCTTGAATGTGCTACAACATAAATGTTTCAGTGAGCCAGGTCCATCAGCATGATTTGATACTGATATTACTTATTGATATACTACAAACTTTGTTGTTTGATTAAATACAGAATTACAAATAAGTTCAAATAAGTATATAAATCAAATCAATTGTAATATTTACCTGAATTTTGAGGTTCCAGCTTGATGCTGAGGGTAGGTACAACCATGTGACTGAGGCTAGACCTGGTCATCAGTACAGCTGTAGGCTGCTTCAGCAAACTTTGACCTGACTGTACAGTAACACAATTTCTATTAGCACAGAACATGCAGGCAAGAAATAATAATGTGATTTCTGTTTAAAGATGGGCCGCAGCCAGGAAAGAGCGCAGAAAGGAAAGTAATAGCGCTAGGGCTACATTACGCGGTATACAGAAGGAAAATTTCTCTTTCGGGAGTCTGCACTAGCACTAGCTGAACAATTCTCAACCTTTTTTAACCCCTACTGGTCACACCCTGTGGCTGCCCACATTCAAGCTTTTTATTTCTATGATTTAGGTTTTTAATCGCTACACAAAATCTCACTTAAATTCATCAACAAATTATTACAGAAAAGAACAAGAAAATCAAATAAATCTTATTTTTAATGGCTTTGAAAATGTTATAGGCCTACTTATCTGTACGATTTAAGGAGCTGATGTCCTACCTTGAGTTTGTGTTGTTCATGGTGTATCCTGTGTGTGTGCCGATGTATCAGCGCGGGGGCAGGCGGGGCTGGTGAGGCGGGACAGGATGACATCGGACTGTCTGGTTCACTGAGAGGTTCATCTTTGATGATGATCTCAGTCTCTGGTTCAGTCTCTACATCGGAGTCTGCCTCGGAATGCCTCACTTCACTTCTGTCTCGCCTCTGTAGCTTCATGGGTGGGAAACACTCGTCCTCTGTGTCTGTGAAATAAGCAGAAAACCCTGGGTTAAAACTTCGGTGGGTTTGCAAAGAACGGCCTAGAGGCCACCAACATATGGAACATATGGAAGAAAGTTGCCCAATACCGCTAAATTAATTGTAGCACAAGTAGATAAAAAAAGAGAGTACAATATTATAATACCCCCGCCGCAGCAAACCTTCCGTCTAAGCGAATTTCCATTTGGCCGAATTGATTTTCAATTGATCTATTTAAATAACATTAGGTTTAACGAGTACCTAGGTTTGCTGCTACAAGGAAACTAATAAAGTAGTGTGTTATTAGTAAAATATTGATAGCTTACTATAAAATAAATAAATTTGCCAAGTTTGATCAAAATATATCCATAAACAAGCAAACTACAACATTTTACAATATTCTCCATAAGAATAACTTGGGAATTTTAAATTTACTATTTTTTTAGTTTTCTTCGTAACCAATAACCGTACAAAAACACTTTGATATACTGAATTGTTTGTTTTTTTAAGCTCTTTAAGAAGGTTTAGAGGAAAATTGGGGAAATTTTGTGTTTTGAGGGTAAAAAGTGAGAAAACCCCATAAAACCCCCCATAAAACCCTGTTCCCATGGTCCGATCATGCTGGATCGCGAACTCATTCAAGTTTATCCCGCCTTACACCTTCAAACCAAATTTCATCAAAATCGGAAAAAAATTACTCAAGTTATCGTGTTCACGGACACATATATATATATATAAATCTATATATATATATACATATATAAAAATTTGAACGAATGGTGTTTTTGGCCTCTGGGGACATTAAAATGAAAAAGTAAATCGGTCCCGGGCCTAAGTCTTACCATGAGACCTACGGTAATAGCTACTTCCCTATAGGGAAATTCGCTAAATAGCTACTTCCCTATAGGGAAATTCGCTAATACTTCCCTATAGGGAAATTCGCTAAAAAGTTTACATTTCTTTAGATTTTTACTGTAGCAAATAAGCAAAACTGTGTTTTGCTAAAAATTTCAAATAATAGTATAAGGGAGAAAACAATGTTGGCAGATTAGACTTGCAGTGCAGACTAAGCAAACTGTCATTTGCCTAGTTGAATTTTCACTAAAATATTTCTTTAAAATTGTTAGATTATGTGCATGCCCAGTCATGTTCCTGTGCTCTAAGCCTTAGAGTCTAAGGCATAAGGTAGAGGGCATGGTAATAACGTGTTCGGCCAGACTCCTCTGCCTCTGCTCTATTGGTCAGCTCATGATGATGATATGAACGGTCATGTTTCGGTGCTCTAATGGTGTAGAGCATGATCATGTGCTCAGCCATGCTCCTGTGCTTTAATATGGTAGCGGTAAAGCATGATGATAATGTGCTCGGCCATGCTCCTGTGCTCTAATATGGTAGAGGTAGAGCACGATGATTATGTGCTCGGCCAGACTTCTGTATTATATTTGGTAAAATTAAAATGATGATGTGCCCGGTCACGCTCCTGTGCTATTTTTGGTCAGAGCGTGATGATAATATGCGTAGTCGAGTCACACTTATGTGCTCTATTTTGTCTGAACGTGATAAATATGTGCGTAGCCACGCTCCTGTCTCCATCAACTCTTGCTCCTCACTATTGACAACCTACTCTTTCTGTTGACAGTCCTTGTTTGTTTGGTAGATAAAACCTTTTATCTCGCATAACGGAATAAGCCTTTGTCGTAATAATTGGCCAGCAAATAGATTTATTTGTATTGGGCAATTAATTGTTGATCGATAAATCTAAATATCAGGGCCGAGACAGTAGTAGATCAACCTAAAATGACCGGTAAAATATCGCATGAAATTTTTCATCAGCGATAAAGCATTTTAAAACATGTTCTGTATAGTTTATGTAGAGCTTAAACTTGCTCTATTATACATGCATCATCGTTATGTATGAGTTGAAGACAATTTCAAGGAATGTTAATTTTTGCAACGATTTAGTGCTTTTAATGTTGAAACAATTACTTGTAAACTACTGCTTGTCATTAAGAAGCAGGGTTGTTGTTGATGAGGGTTGTAATCAAAAACACTTGATCAACATCAATACACTGAAGCGTAGCGTAACAGGAAATTAAACACGCATCAACACAGGCTAGGGGGTACCGATTTCCAATTTTAGAACCAAAATTCATTTAAGGGTCTGAAGAAATTTAGAGCTAAATAAAGACACTCCGATGGCCTACCCCAAATATACATGGAACCGTTACATGTTCAGTTATGACAAGCATCGACCGCCGAGTAAGGAAAGCTTTTAGTGGTCGTTGACTTCCCACTGAGCCTTGGCGGCGAAAGTGAAAATCACGGAACAGGATACATAATCGTACATGTAAATATCTCGGCGGGAAACGATAATGGCCGCCGAAACTGTGTGAACTCAACGGAAGCTATTGTTAAGTAGCTAATCTATTTTAAAGACCATAATACTGCAGTTAAATTGAACGATGGAAATCAAAAGACCTGATCAGAATTAAAATACGTAATCATTTTAAATTGTTAACCGTATCATAATTTCGACAAAATTGCAGCGTTTGAAACTTTCTTTACATATACTATTTTATGAGACTGCATGCACGTATATTTAAGAGCATTTTAAACGAACAGTTAAATACAATAAACACTCCGAAAATTAGCTAGATGATTAAAGGTGAACACCGCGTTTAAGTTTCGCAATAAATACACTTAGAAAAATTGTGGTAAACATTTTTTTATCATTGAGTAATTTTTTATTGTTTTCACCAGCTACTGTAGTTTTCTGGGTGGGTTTTTCTCGTTGTGACAAATTTTACATGTTTTTTATCTCGTTATGTTTTACGTAATTTCTGACCCAAGGGCGGGATCAGATCCCGAAATGTCGCGAAAACAATGTAGCAGTTGCAACAAAGAACAGTTGCAGCATACAACAATGCATCTTAGAGGTTATCTCGGCTGCACGTGTGTTGATGGCTGCTGACTAGGAGCTTCATTGATAACACAGGCAGTCAGAGCTTATCAGGGGTTCACCAGTCCCAGTATAGTACTGAACGTACTGAACTTGCAGTATAGATAGTCGGGGCTATAGAATACATAGATAGTACTGTACTTGCCAAATCACTAAGCCAGCTACACACTAAAGTATGTTACCTACTTTCAGAAACAGGCCACGGCGACATGGAATCCGGTAGGAAGCAGGCTCTCAAGTAGCGACATGAGTACCGGTACACTTTTTACTCTGAATATTGTGCTGAAGAAGTTCTAGAACTGAGCAGAGAGCAATGAAAGGGTGTCTGATAGTGTTCGGCTGTATCAGAACCTTGCACAATAGCACAATGCATCGGGACAAACCATTTTTTATCTTTATCCGAAAACCTACTCCTCATCGCCGGTTTGGTGCTCATAACCGAGTCTTGATCAGAGTTCATAGAATACCATACTCAACCGTCCTTACTGTCTTTGAATTATATTTCTTCGCTCACTGCTCGGCACGATGTCTTATTCATTACAAAATCCGATACAGTACGTTACCGCCATCATCTTAGTAAATCATATAATGGAGTTACACGTTTTTTTGTTGATTTTTTTTATCAAATCGATTTTTTAAGTGGCAGGAGAAATTCAAATAAAAGTCATAAATTATGGTATAATTAAATTGAATTAGTGTCCCCAGCGCTTTAATAAATTGTAAATATCCTATAATTGTTTAAAGCATTTTTGGTGCGAATCTTATACAGTATGTACGCTTCAGTACATTTTCTAAGTTCGTGCGACAGAATCACGAAATAAGACTATCAACATTTAACCCCCTAACGGGATACCAAATAGGAATTTCTGGCAGCTTGAACTACAGAGTAATGCCAATAATCATTAGTCTATCTAAATGTACCAATTGTTGTCTTGTAACGACCGCTTAATCAGCTGAATCTCACGACATTATTGTTATGTCACAATCACAATGACAATGATATCTAAACAGTAAAGTGTTACTGTTTACGGCTTACTGCTTGCTTACTAGCGGAATACAATATAGTTGCGCAAGGAGAGTGAAAAATGGCTATACTTTAGGGTTGATTAGCATGTCGGGTGAGAAATAACACAGGGTTATTGTAATAAGTTTAAAAAAACGGACAATTCCAAAACTAAGTTTTCGTTTTCCGATTGTATACGGCTACTACTACGTTTTAGGTTAAAAATTAGTAACTCTATATTTAAAATTTTTTAGCTCTATTTTTTTGGTTATTTTAGGTTAGGTTACAACCAAGTCATAACCTTAATTTTAAATTCGGTCATATTGCATACTCGTATAACGTATAAGGTAGTCGTCGTGTAACGGAATAAGGTCCGGGTTTATTTTAAATTAACGTTTACCACAGAAGTCATGGTATAAGTTACACAGTTTTCAATTAAACACCAGCGTTTATATTTATATGATTTATTTAGAGTAAATGGAATATCAAAAATAATATTAGTCACGTTTACATTATTTTCAAGAGGTGGCCTATAGCTTACGCCTCATTGAAACAGATTTTTTATGAAATAACAATCCATTATATTTTTAATAATATTTGAAAAGACGTTCTACAAAACTAGTTCAACGAGGAAAAGTTTCATTGTTTTTCTGTGAACGGAAGTGGAGCAGCGGGTTGAGTAATTCGAGTAGAGAAAGTGGCGAAGCGAGTGAGTGATGTCTGATAAGAGATAACACAGGGCAGGGCTGTGTCCTGGGCCGAGGTCACATACCTGCGAGCAACAACCCACAAACAAGGTTGGCACGCAATACCCAGGAAGACGTCTTAGAGATGGTATAAGAAAAGGCGTTAACACAGACAAATAGAGTAGGAGTTGGAAGTTTACAAACCAAATCCTGAATTTTATCGGATAATTTCCCGAAATATTTACTAAAAAGACTTTATTTAAGTAAGAAAACACTTTAAAGTACTGAAAACATCTGTAGAGGGTTCGTAAAATTGCATAACATACAACTACCTTACTCAACCAGCAGCCCCAACTC